TTTATTTTTATTCGGTCTAGATTGTTATTAATATATTGATAGCTTCTATTCCATAAAATGGGATTAAGAAAATAAAAGAAATTGGTTATCTTGCCCACCCAAAAGCTCTAATATATTATGTTTATACTTAAAGGACAGGGTAGCTATGGGGTAGCTGCAGGTGCATATCAGGCTCCAATGTATTTCCCCAATATATTCTATGAAATCTCACTCTGGAACTTCAGAATGTTTCTATGTGTCTTTTATTTATATGAGTTTATCTCTGAATATACTGATGGCATTAATTACCAAGAATACTCTGTGTGTGTGTGTGTGTGTGTGTGTGTGTATTTTCATGGAATTGGATATTTATAGGAAGATTCTTTGTGGTCTTTGTCACACATATGGGTTACAAGTAATGTATATTTTTTGAATCTTCAAAGTTGAGGTCGATTTTTGAAATGGTGGCTTGAAAGTGCCTGTTGTGCTCACTTTACCCCAGGCTGTTTGCTACTTGGAGAAGATTTCCCTTTTTAGATCAATAAGAGTATTGAAATTGGTGTGTGTGTGTGTGTGTGTGTAATGGTTGATGTGGAAGGCAGGATAGGGCAATGTATTTTAGTGATGCCATATAATAGGAAATATGGGAAGCAAAGAGAGACATGGGGAACAAGAACTTGGTATTTATCGTATTTTCTGTTCCATAAGACATACTTTTTCCCCAAAAAAGTGGGTGGAAATGTCTGTGCCGGTTCTTTGTTGAATATCAACAGGGCCGCAGCGGCTGTGTTGAATCCCGTCTCTTCTGTCTTTGTCATTGCCCGCCTTTTCTGTCTCTTTTCCACAGTGCAGGAGTAAATAGGCAGAGCTGGCACATGAGAGAAAACCTATCTGTGGTCCTCTCAGGCACTGCCTGATTTTTTTTTTCCTCCTCTAAACCTAGGTGCATCGTATAATCAGGTGCATCTTATAGTGCGAAAAATACAATAATACTGGTCTCATGTTCTGCTCCCTCACACTCACCTCATATACCTGGTCAGCATATCTGTGCGAAGTCTAGTTTTAGATTGCTACTTTTAAATAACTGATTGGTCTGTAATAAGGCTTGCCTTATTGCTTCTTGCATAGAATACTGAACCTGGCTGAGCCTGGAGGGAGGTATGCTCTCTCAGAAATATTTGCAGCAGGTTATCAAATATGGTACCAGACTAGACTAAAGAATTGAGTAGTAGGTATGGCTGTTGTCATCAAAGATCCTCTGGCAGCTGCTGGGAGTATGGCTCCACAAGTGTCAAGTTATGAGACACTTTTTCTTACGTTGACCTTCAGGCATCAGATGGGATGCTTCTACTATACCAGCCTCCCTGCATTGTAGCTTCCAATCCAGGCTCCTGGACTACTACCTCAGGGCTGGCAGTAGAATAACCCAGGCTTTAGTTGTTGTTGTTTTTTGGGGGGGGCTTCAATCTGCCATCCCTGGAAGTAGCCCAGGATTTCGTGGAAGCCTATTCTAGATCATCCAGGGTCCAAGTAGGAATAGTGCTCACACACCCAATCTGGTGTTCTTTTCAGAACAGTCCCTATGTAATCTAGAATTGATGGGCATATTTTTGTTTCCTTGTCATGATCAGCTCATAATCTGGTGACTATGGATGTCTCTAAGCCTATACATCCTTGTAGAGAGACAGGATCTTTTAAATTGATCTGCTCCTGGCAGTTAATCAACCCAAGTGCATTTCAAAAGGAACTGGGGTTATGACTGCAGATCTGCATAGTTCACCAAAACTCCTTGTTGCCACTTGGAATAGGAAGGTGACTGAGAATCCAAATAGGATAGTGCCCATGCAATCTCTCCCAACCCGCAGATTTCTTCATTCCCCCCTTGGTATATAAAGCCATTGAGAGGGATTAAATGGATGAAGAGATGTCTAGAGCGCCATTGGCAGAAGACAAGGGATAAACTCAATCAAACATGGATAATAGCTGCTATTAAAATCTATCTCATGGCGATTCGGGCAGCAAATTACTTCTTCACACTAATTGTGTTTACGTGTAATTGGCCAGCAGCCTTCTTTAAGGTGAACCATCTCCTCCTAGCGAAGGAGGAGACAGAAGCCTACCTAAGGAGAAATGCTGAGGAATTTGCTGATTTTTCTGGAAGACAAAATTGTTCAGATTCATTCCCAATTGCTGGTCTGGTGGAGGAACCCAGGGCAAGTTCTTGCCCAGTTATCTAGGAATGGTTTGACCCTGTTGTTTCTGAGGAAGTAAACAGATTCTAAAGAATGAGTACAATCACCTGTATTTTAGGTTTATGCACATCTTGTCTTACGAAAGCTTCCAGGAAGGTGACATGGGGATGGATTCTAGCAGTGATTAATGCTTCTCTGTGGGAAAAGTTGGTGCCCCGGCATTTTAAGGAGATTATGGTCTGCCCTTTTTTTAAGAAGCCATCACTAGACTTCGCCATATTTTATAATTTTCAACCTATTTCCAAACTTCTTTTTCAGGGGAAGATGCTTGTGTGTTAGCTCCAGAAGTTCCTGGATGAAATGCATTATCTAAACCAAAGGTGTCAAACTCAATTTCATTGAGGGACGCATCAGGGTTGTGTTTGACCTTGGTAGCCAGGGTGGATGTGGCCAGCTCAACATCACTCATGTCAGGAGGGGGCACCTGTGGTGGCCAAGTGCTAAGGCAGGACTTCCCTCAGACCCTCTCTCCCTCATAATCTTCCTTTCTTTTCTTTTTCCCTTTCCTCTTCATTCTCCTTTCTTCTTCCTTCCCTTCTTTTCTTATTTTTCCTTCCTTGCTCTTTTCCCATCTTTCCTTCTTTTTCTTTGTTTTTCTCCTTTCCCCTTTTATGTTTCTTCTTAGATGCTCAAATGCAAAAGAGGAAACATTTCTCCTTTTGTTTTGAGTTTATTTTGTTAGCTCTCTGCATATGGCCCTCTGGGCCCCATTTTCGGGGGCCCTCTGTATTTTTTTAAAAGAACAAAGGAAAGAAGAGGATTCACTGGCTTTTGACTAAGGAAAAAAAGGCAGTAAGATCCAAAACCTGCTTAAATAGCCTGTTTAAAGCTCACCGTTGAGCATTGGATCTGCCTAGTGATCTATTATGTATACTTCGTATTTGGGGCATTATATTTATTTCCTTTCATCCTTGGAATAATTATGAATAAGACTTTTGAGAACTATTCTAATTATTTTACCAATTCATTCCAATCTGATTTTTTAATTTATTTTTATAACAGTTCTTTTATGTGATTAGGCTTGTATATAATAATGTCCCCAAAATAAAATAGATCAGATCCTTCATCTCTGAAGAAATACCGTATTTGCCGGCGTATAAGACGACTCTTTTGCCCTGAAAAAGATGCCTCCAATTGGGGGGG